TAGAAACCCCCTATTATACCGCTCAACATGGGTTCTGTCCTTCAAACCAAACCAATTTTTTTTATTCCTAGGAGCTTAAGAAGTCCAAAAATGCCCATATTAACTTCAGGAAAATTGTCTGGTGCTCAGGACGCCGCCATTTTGAATTTTTCAAAATTGAGAAATCCCACGATTAGATTTTTGCAAATATCTCATCAACGGTTCATCACACAAAGAAAAAACAACAAAAGCAGCAGAAAGAACATAAAATCTCCTACCGAAATCACTCTCCCCTGTTCTTTCTAGCTTAATGGTCGTAAAATCGACGTTTTCTTCAAAAATTAGCGAAAAAAAGGCACATTTTTGCTGACTTTCGGAGAAACTTTGCTTCATATCCCCTGCCACAATTATCTGAGAAAAAAACTGATATGCTCATTGAAAAGAGCGTAAAATTTACATCAAGCAAACATATGTCAATAGTTCCTAAACTTGATTTTATCCAGTGAAACAACAGTTAATTAACTCCGCACTTAAATTGAGATTTTGACGACCATTTCCTTTAAAATGAAGAAAAAAAGAAGAAAAAAACCTAAAAACGTGTGGCCAAAACTTTTTGTAACAAGGTGGTAAAATAGTGCAAGGCCTACACTATTAAGGAAGAGGGAACAAAGCCAAAAAGTTCAAAAACGTTCAATCAGAGCCAAAAATTTTGAGCTCTAATGAGGATTAGTACAAAACTGATGGGAGAGATCGTTCAGGTCAGGCAGTTTGCATTGGAATATTGAGTTGAGATCACCTTGAGAGATCTATAATTTTGGGTCTTTTTATACCTCATCAGTAGATCACACTCGTCGGTGAACTCAACTGGAAATCTTGTAAAATCCAAGATGGCATCAAAGCACATTAGTTCAAAATACAAGTTTTGTACTGCAAGACGGTAAGTTTCGTACTGGTAATCATCAGAACTCAAAATTTTTGACCCTGATTGAAACTTTTGAAATTTTTGGCTTTTGATCTCACTGATGAGTGTGATCTACTGATGAGATGTAAAAAGAACCAAAATTATAGATCTCTCGATGTGACCTCAACTCAATATTCCAATGCAAACTGCCTGACCTAAAAACTCTCCCCCATCAGTTTTGTACTGATCCTCATTAGAGCTCAAAATTATCGGCTCTGATTGAACTTTTTTGAACTTTTTGGCTTTGTCCCCCCCCCCTAATAGTGTGGGCCCGGCACTATTTTACAACCTTGTTACACAGTTTTGATCATGGGCATTTTCGGACTTCTTTAGCACCTAGGAATAAAAAAAAATGGTTTGGTTCGAAGAACAAACCAACACCGGGAATTTGTTGTGCTGTGTGCTGTGTGTTGTGCACAGACCTTAGTAGCAGAACCACAGAAGGAAAAGATAAAGCTTATGTACGAAAGTTAAAATTTTTATAAAATGCATGCATACGAAAGTGTTAAAAGTGAACATTTGTATGTAACCATTATATAAAAAAATCATAATTTTCGTGAGCTTTTCGCAAACATACTAAAAAATCTTCTAATTCGCGAAATGCTCACGAAAATGATGACCATTTTTTCAATAAAATAGTTACATGAAAATGTTCACTTTTATCACTTTCGTATTCATGCATAATATAAAAAAACAAAAAAATTCCTTATCTAGGTTTTATCATTTTTCATATATTATGGTCAGATCTGAACTTTGTTTTTTTTTATATAAGCGTCACGCGTTTTTTATATAAAACTACCATTTATATAAAAGAAATGTTTTTTCATACTTTTTTTGGAAAAACAAAAATTTGTTCTGCTACTAGGGGATGACGGAATGTAGGACATGGAACGGTCAAAGACTCTAAGTAAAATTGACAGAAGTGGTGTCATGGATAGTATTGATTTTGTTGATTTGATTATAAAATGATTTGCATGTATGAAATTTAGGATAAACGTATGTTCATGGCCCATGTAATCATACATTAACAAGTTTTGGATTGGGTACCACCTAGGGAGAGGCGACGGGGACGTTCCTTGAAGAGGAACGCACAGTGGATCGAGTCAATTAACGCGGTCGGACTTACGAATTTTGACTCAAACTGCAAATTTTGATGTTTATTTCGTCATATTTTACATTTTAAGAGGAGCTGTTGCGTACATTTAGCAACAATCAGAACTATTGAATAACTATTCAACTTCATAATAATAATTACCTTCATAATGATGCTAAGATCACGAGAACTTTATTTACGAAGGTTTTTATAAAGCATATCGACGGTGAAACTACCAAACCACGTATCTCGTTTGCGGTGTTTAAAAATCTACGCTCACATTTTATTTTTTTGAAGTAGACCAAATCAATATCATTCCTTGAAATTTTCACGGAATTTTCTCCGCACAAAGAGGAAAAATCACAGAATTTTTCAAGACTGGATGTTAAGTAGTTTTTCATTTAAAAAATAAAGTATGACAGGGAGTCTGCGACGTCGCAAACCGAGATACGTGGTTTGGTAGTTTCACCGTCGATATATAAGTCCAGAATGTTGTTGCCACGGAGACATACATGGTTGAAGCTTAAAAGCTTTAACAAGCTCCCCCCCCCCTTGAGGTTGCCTCAACTTTCAATTTTAAAGTTCACTTAAATTTTAACATTTTTTTTTTAACTTGATAATTTGTAAATTTGACAATTTCATATAAAATTTTGATAAGTAATCTTTATAAAATGTAGACAATTTTAAAATTTAATTTTCCGTTTTTAAGTCTGGGAATGCGCTTAGCTCTGATATAGCGCGTATCAGTATGCCACTGGGCGCTTTTAAAATCACAGTGTGGCATAGGCCATCGGCGCTTTTGCACATTTTTTTAACTCTTGCCATTTGCCAATATAAAGGCGGAGTATTTTTATCTTTTATTAACACTAATTCTCCAATCTCTGGTGTTTTTTGTTCCTTAAACCATTTACTGGATACTTGAAGGTTTTGTAAATATTCTGAACTCCATTTTTGCCAGAACTGTTTTGAAGCTTTGTTTATTTCATTCCATCTAATGTGTAAACTATCTTCTTTCCTTTTTTCCGAAATATGAACATCTGGGAGATTAATTAGAGGTCTTCCAACTAGGAAATGGCCTGGTGTTAGTGCTCCAAAATCTTCTGGATTATTGTCAGATAGAGGTACTAGAGGTCGGGAATTTAATATTGCTTCTATTTGAGTGGTGATTGGAATAAATTCTTCGAGGGAGAAGGTCGTTTTATATGCCATTTTTCTGAAGTGAAATTTAAACCTTTTTATTGCTGATTCCCACAAACCACCGTGATGAGGGCATAACGGAGGTGAGAAATTCCATTTGATTGAGCGATTTTGGATGTAGATAGGTCTTTATTTTCTACTATTTGCTGAAACGCTCTGCGTAGATGAGCGTCTGCTGATACGAACGTTTTTGCGTTATCTGAATACTAGGGGGCTACGCCCCCTGGCCGCTACGCGGCCCAACCCCCCGAAGGCGCTCCGCACCATCAATGGGCCGCTTCGCGGCCCTATTTTTACCCTCCTATCAGTTTTAGTTTTATTTTCTCTTTAAAAAATTACGATATGAGATATACTTTAATTTTAAACTTCACTTAAAATTACTTTAAAATTAAAAGGACGCGTTTTGGAATGACTGCTTGATGAAATATTGCAGTAAAACAATGAACAATGATAGTCAGGTAATAATTAAGAATATGCTTTAGTCGGGGATCGAACCCACACCGAGTTTAAAGTGGACACCTTCGACGTCTTAGACGACTCGGCCTCCGCTCAACGTTAAGTCTCCGCTGCGAATCTAGTGTAGATAAGTGTAGAGCTGATGCGCAGGCTACACAGCTACTGCGCAACCTCCTCGACCACTGCGGATCCTCCCGCGCATAGCGGTAGCAGTACCGGAGCATTCTGCAAACTCACTCACTTTTATAACGTGATTTTAAAAAAACCTGGGTCCTTTTTCCAAAATCTGATTACAGCGGGCTCATCTAGGGCCTATTACCTCTCGATTTACGCAAAAATCATGGAAATCGGCCCGGTAGAACGCTCAAACGAACTATGACAAAAAGTATAAATTTACATTGTTTAAATGGGAGAATTCGCAACTTTACCACGTAATATAAAAAAACCTGGGCCATATTTTGAAAATGTAAAAAGAGTTGGCTTATCTAGAGACAATTGCCCGTCGATAGCCGCAAAAATCATGAAAATCGGCCCGGTAGAACGCTGGAACTAAGCGTTACCAGTTTCGCAAAATTAGGAGGTCTCGGAGCTTATAGTATAGATATTGAGTGCGGTATCCCTCTGCGAGAGACGAATCTTTTCAATGCAGTTAGAAAAGATTCAACGGTCAGTGACGACACTACTTCTACATGTATCGCCTTCGTTGAGTCCAGAATGTTGTTGCCACGGAAGCATACATGGTTAAAGGTTAAAGCTTTAACAGGTGCTATTACAGACAATTTTACGAGGAAACGAATGAAACAACTTTTAGAGCTACAAAGTTCTGTATAAACGGAGTTATGAGCGTTTAAGGTCTCCAAATTTGTCCGACCTCTCCTATTGAATCGATCCACTGTGTGGCGGCAGGGCTTTGGCGAAGAGATGTCAAGGTGTAGTTGCTCTACAACCTCCAGGAAGATAGGCATTATGTGGCGTTTGGGAATCGCACAACGCCAGAGTTAAGCGAATATAAATAAATATTACTATATAATCATAATTTTTGGAACTTCTTGGCTTTGTTTTCCCCGCGAAATGGTGTGGAGTACACATGTCTTCACATGTAGACACATATGCAATCCTTTAGTATATCCGCTTACTAAATAATTTCGTGTTGTGCATTACTTCCAGATGAGGTGCGAGGAACCATCGCCAACGGCGAAGTCTGAGATAAACTACAATGCCAACTTCTTCGTCGTCAGCAGACCTCAAATCGTTGGTAGTTATACCCTTTATATCAACGGTGAGCAACTTAAATCACTCCCAGATATCATGATGGTTGGGTTTTCGGTAACTGGGTCTATGGATTATCCAATGTTTGCTCCAGACAGGACCTGCTATTCGAAGCAGGAAATCGTGAACGCCGATCCTTTTCGTAACTTCCTTCCGAGTGATGTCAACCAACGAGAGCACCTTACGGACTTCTTCTGCTGCACCAATCCAAAATCGTGCATTTTTAAAGATCCTATTAATGCCATCGACAACTACTTTCCGGTCATCCGAGATATCCTGCAAAAATGCATTGCTGAAGATAAAAAACCACCACCATCGAAAAGAGAATTGAAGAGCTGGAAATCTCAGAAAGGTTCAGAATCTCAGAAGCCGGCCTCAGCACCATCATCAAAGTTAGCGAAGGTGAGAAATAAACAAAAATTAGTTGTGCTTGTTTTTATAAAAAGAGACAGAAGCCATTTAGAAAAAAAGCCATAGAAAATGGGAACGTCTCCTACTTGGAGTTAGGATACGAACGTCTTATACGGGTTGAGACCTTCAAAGGGCACTTTCCTAGAAGTTTCCGGTCCTTTTTGACAGTGGCGTGGCGTGAATTGCGATATATCGATTGTTATGCCATATAAACCTATGGAAAAGGATCGATAAACAGGGTGTTCGCAGCGAACACCTTAATAATCGATTCTTTACCATAGGTTTAAATGGAATAACACTCGATTTATCGCAATTCACGCCACGCCACTGCTTTTTGACCCTATCTAAGAATGGGCGTTACCTAATATTTATAAAAGGGTAAAGTGCCAATTTAAAAGAGTCTTTACTGAATATATGAGCGCAATGCAGCCGTGAGTAGTTTAAGCTAGAGTCCCTTTATACCCAGAGTTAAGACAACTCGATTATCAGCTGACTGGCAGCCGGCCTTGGCTGGCCATGGAGGCACAAACGAGTGCACCCAAACGAACGATAAGGGTAAGGAATCCTGCGATGTCTGTCATCCCAAAACAACAACATCAACAAAATTGATCAATTATACCGAAAATGAGATTGGTTTGTGAATAATTTCTTAATCTGTTTTCATTTTGGACCAATGGAAATAACAATTTACTCTTGATAAACCACAATTAGGTAATATTTTCATTATTTTTGTTCACATTCGAGTCACCGCCATCTTGGTGCACTCGTTTGCGACTCCATGAGCGAGAACCAATCAGAATTGGATTTTTTTTTAGGCCACTTTCAGCCAAACCAAAAGTCAGTTGTCGTAACTCTGGGTATAAAGGGACTCCAGTTTAAGCAAAAAATGCTTAACAAACACCACGAGATAATGTGTAATTTTAAGTGTTCAATTATAAGTGTCCACTTCAAAATTTTTCGCAGAACACGGTTCGTTGCAACAAATTTTACTAAAAAGAACGATCCATTTTACATACTTATTTATTTTTAAGCGCGGTATGCAAATACCGTGCTTCATGGTCTGGTTGCCTGACTCCGCGGCTGATACTTGATGAATCAATTTTATCAATTTTATTAAATTTGAATTATTAAGATTTTTATTTTTAACATCTTATTTTATTCTATTTATTTTTTATTAAAATTTTATGTTAAATTAAAACTAATAATTTTCAAAATTATAATTAAATTTGCTAATTTAAATTATCATTGCATTTCATTGCATCTTGGGTTATTTTTAAAGCCTCTCCGTGGCGGGAACGTAGTTGTATTTTGTATTTTCTCATCGTGATAATTAATCGTGGAGACCGTTCAGAGTGCTGGTAACAATTTTTTTTTTTTTTTTTTAATTAATGCCGAGAACAGAGGAATCTATTATGACCCTTTATGTCCTGCTAAAGCTCCCTGATATTTACGTAGCTACCAATTTGCTTAGAGCAGATCGTTGTTTGAAATTTCCTTATCGGTTACACGTGCAAGCTGCGAGGCTAGAGTCCCTTTATACTGAGAGTCAAGACAATTTGAATCCATTTCTGATTGGTTCCCGTATTTTAGGCCTCCACAGTGTCACAAACGGGAATAAAGATTACATTTTCACCAATTGCAAACAGTGCGGTCCGATACGCCGAAGCGGACAGTTGTCGTAGCTCCCGCGCTCTCTTATCTGATTTTGTGATAACGTTGTGCGCTGTAAATACGAGGCCGGAGTGGCCTATTTCTATTCGAAGTGCCACACTCTAAATTTTTCCTGTTTTTCGTTAAAGTAAATAATATCTACCCCTGCCATGGCGGGGGTAGCTTCGGGTCCTCCCCCACAGGATCCACCTACAAACAGTGATGTGATTACTGCCCGTTCCCTTTCGGAAGACATTCTTAATGCGGACCTTCGTCCTATTCTTACTGACTCCCGAACGCACGAGTCCATTAAAACTTATATGGCCAAGGCCCAAACTGTAGTGAGTGAACTCAATAAAATTGTGTTAAAACAGCGGGAAGAAAAACAAGCCTTAAAGGCGCAGTTTTCTCAGTCGCAGTTAGAAACAAATAAACTCTTATCTAGCCTGCAAACTGAAATTGACACTCTAAAAGCGGCTCCGTCGCAAAACCATTCTGCTCCGGCGAATACTAGTGTAAATGCTTCTTCTAAGAAACAAAAAACTGTTCAATCGAAGTTAAGTTTTCAATCTCAACTTTCCCGGAAGAAACCTGCACCGACTTCAGAACCAAATCAGCCAGGTACTCCTACTCATAATAAATACGCTCAATTGGACGATGATGTGGAAAACTCCAACTCCGATACTGATGGATCGGAATCCTCGGATGCCTTTGTTGATTACAACTCGGATCCTGAATATACAACCAAACGTAAAGCAGTTCTCACTCAGATGAAGAAGAAGCGGAAACGTGGTACCACTTCCAATTCCAGTGGTGATGATATCAGGGATCCTGCTTCAAAACGTGCAGCGGGTGAGATCAATCCATCTTCTACCCCTCTAAATAAAGATAAGAAGAAAAAGATTCTTCCCCCTCCTCCCATCAAAGTAATTGGTGTCGATAACTACTCTACTCTCATGGAGTTACTGGTGCAAAAAACCATTAAAAAATCAGACATTCAGACTCGTATCGTGAACAATGAAGTGTGGCATGTCAATCCAAAAGACGACGAGACAGCCAAGCTTATCTTGGAATCTCTTCGTAACGCTAACTCAGTGAATCCAAAAATTCAGTTTTACACCCACTGTAATAAAAATATTAGGGACCTTAAGGTCATTATCAGGGGGCTTCACCCTACGTTAGATCAGGAGGAGATACTTGAAGATCTCCGTAATAAAGGATTTAAGCCCAAACGGGTCATCTGTTTATTGAAAAGAGTACCTCTCACTGAAGCTGAACTTAAGGCCTTACGCTCCGTTACTGTTCCCCCCAAGGATACTCAGGCTCCAACTCAGGAGCAAGCTAATAAGGTTTCACAAACTCAGAATAGTACCTCTGCCGTTTCTGCCCCTGGCACTGATACTGCCATGGACACAACTGGTCAGGGCGAACAAATCTTGGATACCGATAATACCCCTCTATTTAGTGAGGATAAGGAGTATGTTAGTAAGACAAAACTCATTAAAATTCCCGTCCACCAAGTGGACTTTGATCATGATGATGATATTGAAAAAATTTATAAGATCTTAGGTATTTGCTCTATGCGAGTTAAAGTAGAACCAATCAAAGTATCATCCGCGAGGATAATCCAATGCAAACGTTGTCAAAATTTTGGACATTCATTTAACTTTTGTGGTAAGCAGGCTAGATGTGTCCGTTGTGCAGGGAAACACCTATCCTCTGACTGTGAGTGGCCTAAGAGGGTCATCAATCCCAAGTGTGTAAATTGTGGGGCCTGGGGCCACCCAGCTAGCTATAGAGGATGCCCTTTCGCGAAAGCCATGCAACAAGAGCGTTCGCAAGCTCTAAAAAAGAATGGTCCAAAAAAATCGGGTCCGGGGGATAAAAAGAATGGTCCAAAAAAATCGGGTCCGGGGGGTAATTTTCCACCTCTCCCCAAAAAACCCGCGTTAAAATACAAATCTCAAGCTGCTTCCAATGCAACGCCGGTTAAAAACGCCCGGGCCGCTCTGCAACCCGGCGTGACGTTCGCAGATGCGGCAAACGGGGCTAATCAAAAAGACGACTTGATAAGTCAACTTCTCGCTACGATTGAGTCACTGCGGAAACAGCTTGACGAGATGTCCAAACGACAGGAAAAGTACGAACAACTTATTCTCGGCCGTCTTATCGGCTCCCCCGCTACTGCTCGACTACCGTGAAATGTCGGGTGACTCCAAGGAAAGCATTCTAAACTTTCTTGCATGGAATGCAAATGGCTTATCTCCAGCAAAATTACTGGCGTTCAGCGCAACAATGGAGAGATTACGCTCTGATGTTATCCTATTTTCAGAGACCCACTATGCGCGTGAATCTCGGAGTTATGTAAAAGGATACAGGATGTATCATTCTAGGCATCCGTCCAATAAGGCTCGCGGGGGCGCC